AAGGGATTTCTGGGATCCAGGCTCCTTCCTGCCTGTTTCTTTCTTTGCCTCCTGGTCACCATGGGGTGAGCCTATTTACTGTACCATGTGTTCCTCATGATGTTTTGTCTCACTATTAGGTTCAAAAACAATGGAGCCAATGAATACAGTTCAAATCCTCTGAGGCCATGCCAAAATAAGCCCTTCTTAGTAAGTTGTTTCTCTCAGACATTTTGTCACAACAAAGGGATAGTAACATAGTCTCCAAATTAATTGTCTACACTCAAACCTTTGATTTAAGGTTGACTTTGAGTGGAAGTCTGGGGTAAGAGGCAAACTAAAAGCTTTAGGTGAGCATGTATTTGATGACCTGAATCCATAAAATTTCTTGGTGCTATTAGATCTTAGTCCTTTCCCCCTGCCTCATGTAAAACATTTTTGACTCCCTAGTACACAGATGATAAAGTTCAAACAACTTATAATCTATGAGATGCTTTATCTTCTGCCCAAGATAGCTCTCATCTTACAATACTTTTTCTATATTATATCTGTGGTGGTTTGAAAAATTGGCCCCCAATGAGTGTGGTACTATTAGGAGGTTTCCCATTGTCAGAGAAGTTGTAGTCTAAGTCTCCTATGCTCAAGCTACTCCCAGTGTCATAGACCTCTTTCTGTTGACTTCTGATCAAGATGTAGCCAGTACCTTGTCTACCTGTATGTGTCTGTGTTCCCTGCCATGATGATAATGGACAGAACCTCTGTAACTGTAAGCCACCACCACCTCAATTAAATGTTTTCCTTCATAAGAGTTGTCATGGTCAAGATGTCTCTTCACAGTAGTAGAAACCATAACTAAGACAGAAGTGATACCATGGACTGGGGTATGGTTGTGAAAGACCTGAGCATGTTTTTATTTGGGAGAATTTGAACTTTGGTACTTTGGGTTAGGAAAGCAGTGGAATGCTTTAAGCACTGCTTAATGAACCGTACTAGTAGGAGCATGGATGACAGTGGTGCTGAATGACTTGAACTCTCACATACTGGATCAAGAGGTTTCAAATGTTGCTTAGAGATCATTCTTGTGGTATTTTGATTAAGAAAGTAGTCCCTGGTAGGAAGGAATGTTCTATAGATGTCTGTTAATCCCAATTTGGTCATAACTTCTCTTAGTTCTTTTGTTTCTTTAAGTTTCTGTCTGGAAGTCCTGTCTATTGGTGAGAGCATAGTTTTGAAGTCTCCTACTACCAATGTGTGATGTTTTATGTGTGATTTGAGTTTTAGTAATGTTTATTTTACAAACATGGGTGCCTTCGCATTTGGGGCATAGATATTCAGAATTGAGACTTCATATTGATGAACTTTTCCTGTCATGAATATGAAATGACCTTTTTTATCTCTTTTGACTGATTTTAATTTGATGTCTAATTTGTTAGATATCAGGATTGCTATACAAGCTTTTTTTCTTAGGTCCATTTGGTTGGAAAATCTTTTCCCAACCCTTTACTCTGAGTTAACATCTGTCCATGAAGCTGAGATGTGTTTCTTGTACACAACAGAAGTATGGCTTCTGTCTTCATATCCATTCTGTTAGCCTGTGTCTTTTTATTGGCATGTTGAGACCATTGACTTTGAGGGATATTAATGACATTGATTGTTGATTCTTGTTTGTTTTGGATTTATTGGTGGTGGTGTAATTGTATGTGGATTTCCCCCCTTTTTATTGTTTTTAATTTTTATTATTTATTTTTATTATATACTTTTATTTATGTGTATGTGTGTGCGCCTGCTTGTTTGTATGTGCATCACATACTTGCAGGTATTCATGGAAGCCAGAAGACAATGTCATATCCCTAGAACTAAATTAAGCAGCTGTGAGTCACTTCGTGTGAGTGTTGGGAAGTGAACTCAGGTCCTCTGCAAAAAGAGCTGAGCAATTTCTTCATCCCCTGAAGAAATAATCTTTATTTCTGTGCTCTTCATTTCTGGTATTTAAATATTACCTCTTACAATTCTCTCTGCTGTATTGCCCACTCAGATGTATGTGGTAGCTACTGTTTCTGGCCTCTTTAACATATTAGTCATAGTTATTTTGAATACCCAGGCAGTTAGTTCCAACTTTTCATACCTTATCTGAGTCTGGTAATGATGATAACTTAACCTCCTAGTAGTGTGTTGCTTTTTCCTCACTTTTTGTATGCCTTGCACTATTTCCTCCACAGCTGCATGTGTGGTATAGGGCAGTACAAAGTTAAGTAAATAGATTTTCTGTATGGAAATGGATGTGCTTTTCTTTTGCTAGGTCATTATCTAGTTCATGGCCTTGTGTTGATCTCCTTAGGAGTTGGGCTTGTTTCATGCATTTGTTGTTGCTATGGTTACCCTCAGTACACAAAGACTTAAAGCTCCCATGCTTGTAGGACAGGTAGGGGACATGTTTAATAGAGCAATGTCTATTTGATTCTAGGTTTAATACTTTGTACTATTCCTCAGGTTTTCTCTCTCAGCAGAAATTCCTTAGTTTTGTTCTTGGGTATATGCTGGCTTATTCAGATTTAAGTTAAGTTGTACTTTATTTTTATTTTTTAATAATTCCTATAGAATTCCATGAAATGCATTTTAATCACAGTCACACCTCCCTTGACTCTTCCCAAATCCACCTCCCTAGTTCCTACAGACCCAAATTCATTGCCTTTTTTTCTTAACCCATCAGATACAATTTGTGCTGCCCATACACCCTTTGATGCATGGCCCTCCACTGGAGCCTAGTCAAGTCACCATGGGCCAAAATTGACTCTTCTTTGCTCAGCACCTATCAGTTGCTGATAGGTTTTAGCTATGAATGGAACTTCATGGCCACCACCCCTCTCCACATTGGGTATTTGTCTGACTTGAGTTTACACAGCTCTTGCACATACTGGCTCAACTGCTACGAATTGATTATATGTGAAGCTGCTCTGCTGTGTCCCTAAAATACTCTTTCCTTAGTGTCTTCTACCACCTCTGGCTCTTACAATCTTTCCTCTCTTCTTCCAAAATGGCCCCTGAGTAATGTGAATGTCCTACTTAAGGCTAAACATTTCCCAGTCCCTTATTCTCTTTACCTTGACTACTTGTAACTATCTGTGTTTATCTCCATCTTCTGTAAAGTAAGCTTCTTTGATGAGGAATGAGAGATGCGCTAGTCTATGACAATTCATTAAGAGCCAGTTTAATACTATGTCTCTTTAGCACAGTAATAACAGTAGGGTCTCCACCAAGGCTTATTACCTACCTATTCTCAAGTTCTTGGCTCCAATATTGGTGCCAAGTATGGATTTCAACATGTGGTGTGGAATTTAAATCCAGTCAGAAAGTGCTTAGTTACTCCCATATTTGTGCCACTATTGGACCAGTGGTTATGTCTTGTCAGGCCAATAATTGTTGTAGTTCAAAGGGGTCACAGCTAGATAAGACTGGTAATTCCTTTGTTCCTCTGGTAGCACACAGAATTTTTTTTAACACTGTGGGAATTAGCTGGTAAGAAAGAAGCTTCCATCATTTCTTTGGGTTTCAGAGTTGTAGCCTTCTCTACTCTCTTGTCCCTTCGATAGCTTCAGTTATAGACTCAACTCCTTTACACTATGGATATTCTTTGAGGAGATTATGCCCAGATAAAGACATTATTAACTGAGCAACAGCTCAGTTTGATGTCACATATGTAAAATCCCAGTACTGGGGAAACCAACACAGTGGAATTGACAAGCATGGGATATATACAGTGAGAAGTTGGCAGGTTTCTTTTTTAACTTTAAAAATAAGTTGAAGCCAGGGTTTAGTGTAATCCCAGTGCTTGGAAAGAGGACTGTGAATTCAAGGATACATAGTGTGATATCATTTTAAAAATAAAACCACTCACTGCCTCCAAAATACTGAAAACAGAAAGACAGACAATGGTGTAACTAAAATTGCATTTAGTGACACAACCCATAAATATCACAGGTTAGCCACACAGTACTTCATTCAGTATCCGTGATTTTCTATGGTGATCATACCAGTGACTGGGGGCAATGGCTTACTACAGCATTGTAACCAAGCATCAGACCACATATTACCATGCTGGGAAAAGGTTCAATCAAAAGTTAAAACTTAGCTGTGATTTCTTCATAGAATTGAAAAGCCATAAATCAAACTACTGTAATTCAGAGACCCTCCTTTTGAACTGGTAGATTTACTTAAAAATTTTATAAATATCATTTTCTGTTTATCCTTCTAGAATTCACTTTTGCTGCTCAACATTACGAAATTTATTCATGAGAATCAATGTAGCTATACTTCATTCATTTTAGTGTCACACTTTTGATGATCAGGAAATATTTTTCTATATTTCTTCAGTTCCCAATTTCTCAATGCTATGAAAAGTCCTTCAAAAACTGACACTGATGCTTCTTTGTGCATATGTTTTAGATTTTTCTCTAGTGTGCTTTCCTGGAAATGGAATCACTAGATTGATGTGTTTCCCATTTTCTAATTTATCAGATACTTCCAGATTGAACTGAGTGGTTATATTAATTCAAATTAATTATGAGAGTATGAGAATCCCCTTGTACCATAGCCTCAAAAATTCAGTATTCTCAGATCTAAAGGTTTTGAACATGTTTAGTCCCAGAAAACGATCCTTTTATAATTATGTTTTGAGATTTTCAATAGATACTCATGCTTTCATGACAAGCAGTTTACAAACTGAATCCCCTCAGTCCTAACAGCTATTTTAAAGTTCAGCTGAATTGGTCTATTCATCATAGCTTTAACCAATAATAAATAATGACAATCAATATGATTTTATTAAAAACCTTTATATCTGGTAGGATATGCAACTCTGTTTTTCATTCACATTTTCTCTTGGATATTCTTGGCTTTGGGCTCTTTTATACAAATTTTAGGATCAGCTCTTCCAGTTCAATGTTAACACTGTGCTGAGATTAGGAATAGAATTATCTTCAATGCATGACATTTTGAGAGAGACTAATTTATTTTAAAACACTGTGCCTGTGACTGCTTGCACATTTATTGAAATTGGAACAATAATAAGAAGATTACCATGCCCTGGGCAAAGATGACATGAAGATCAATGAACTGGTCCTTATTTTTTTGCCACTCTAAATGCCTAAATGTCCTCAACAGATGAACAGATAATGAAAGTGTGGTACGTGCACACCGTGAAATACTATTCAACTGTAAAGCAAAAAAAAAAAAAAAAGGAATCATGAAATTTTCAGATAAGTGTAGCTCTCACCCCTCTTCAAAGAAGCTTCTCTTTTTAGCAAATGGAGACCATTACAGAAAACCATCAAAGGTCATGATACAGAGATCGGCCAGTTGTAGGGAGCCAAGTCTCAATGGGTACATCTACGACACAACTCCTGCACCTAAGGCTGAGGGAGCATTGAGGAGGAAGGGTAGAAAGTCTGTATGAATCAGAACAGGAAGTCTGCTACGAGATTGTGTCTCCTAGAAATGACAGGGAAACTATACCCATGATACTTTCTCAATATGGCTGCCTGAACAAGAACTGAATGATGACAATGCCAATAGACATGCCAAGGCAGAATTGGGAAATACCATAGGCATATTGCCCCTAGACAAAGAACTATATGCTCCTAGTGAATATTGAGAGAGGAAGAATTAGCCTATGTCAAGAATGACTCCCCTAGTTGGTTATCTGATAAAAGTGGTCAGTCAGCTCTGAGAAGTTACACACACGCAAGCAACACTCAGTAGGTTGTATTTATATATTTATGTGTTTATATATTGTTTTAGCTACTGTTCCATTGCAGTGAAGAAACACCATGACCAAAGCATCTCCTATGAAAGGAAGCAGTTAATTGCGGCTTGTTTACAGTTTGAGAGGTTTAATCCATTATCATCATGGCAGAGAGCATGGTGGCAGGTGGGCATTGTGCTGGATAATTTTTTATATAAAAATTTGTATATAAAATCTAAAATATAAATAAAATATCAAACATTACAATTAATGAAGTCTCTTCATTTTATTTCGCATCTTCAATAATGTTTAACAACTGTATCAGTTAATTTTCTGTTGCTCTGATAAAACACCATGACAAAAAACAACTTACGGAGCAAAGGATCTATTTTGGCTTATGGTTTCAGAACATTAAGAGTCCATCATGAGAGCAATCAGCAGGCATGGGGCAGGAGCAGAAACCTAAGAGCTCTCACATCCTAAACCACAAGTACGAAGCAGACAGTGAACTAAATTGAATATGATTATAAACTCTCAAAGCCCACCCCCTATTGCCTTACTACCTTACTTTCTTCAGCAAGGCTAAATCTCCAAATACTCCACTACTGCCACTACTAACTAGTGAACCAGGTATCCAAATACTGGAGCTTACGGGGCGGGGTGGGGGGGGACATCTGCCATTAAGCCACCAATTTAATTCCCTGGCCACTATAGGCTTCACGGCCAAATGACTTTTGTCAAGCTTCAAAAGTTCCCTAGTCTTTCATAATCTTCTTTTGTTGGCAATGGCCTTGGTGGTAAGAGAGTCAGAATTCCCCATGACCACCAAGAGGGTGGACACTCTAAGACAGCAAAGCTTCGTTAGCCAGTAACAGAGGATGACTGGCCCAGAGACAGACAGGGCAAAGGCTGACAGCAGGAAACAGTTGGGGCCTGGGAATACCCAGCCTTCAATACCTGTGATGCTGTGCACTGAAGGCACAAGCAAGGAAGCTGGGTAGGTTGAGATCTTCTATGCATGCCAGCACTGGTCAGCTTGACCTTCAGCAAGGTTCCTGGTCGACAGGCTTTGCAGTCTCAATGGTTTAGTAGTCTGCAGTAGGATGGGGTGACGGTAGTCTTGCAGAAACTTGGACTGTAAGGAAGCAGGGGAAAGGGTCATAGGGAAGATCCCAGGTGGAGCTAGGCCCTTATCCTAGACCCCACTCCTACAAATCCCAGCATTTTCAGCTGGGAGAAGCTGTAGAAGCAGGAGCTCTTGAAGTAAATTCTTGACAGACTCTTGAGTAAGTAGAGTCTCCATAAAGATGATAGAAAATCATCAAACGGGGCAGCTGATGCACTTGGAACAGTCCAAAAAAAAAAGGCCACATAGCTGAAGTACAGAGAGTCTGTGTGAGTGGCATGGGTGGGAACAGAGGTGGGCTGTGGGCTTTATTATTTTAACTTCATCTGAAATGAATGTATGGAATTTCCAGTCTCTGGTAGCTGTCTGGATGGATCACACAGGGTACAAGTTGATATTGGAGAGGAAACAAGTCCAATTATCCAGAGCAAGGAGAGTGGACTTAAATCTGTCTTGGCAAGGAAAATGGAAAACTAAAACTGTAGGTAGGTTGAAGAAGCAGGGTAGAATGGGAAAGACCTGGATGCTTGGTTAAAAAGTGGGGAGAGCAAGGGGTTGAGGCTTCAACCTCCTCAGCTATAGTTAAGCATGGGGTGACAGCCTTAATTCTGTAAGGATGTCTGAGATCGGGACAGCATGTAACACTTCAGTGATAGAACATGTGAGATGCTCTCAGAACTTAGTCCCGGAGAATCAGGATCCCAAACTTGCATGAGACACAGTTACACGAAAGGGCTCATGTCCTGTCATAGGGGAGAGGAACAAACCATCTGGGTTGCCTATAGGTAGCATGAGGTCTCAGCAGCACAGAGAATTCAGGGAATGAGTAAAGGCATGAATGGCAATAGCTGAGAAAGCAAAGCCAGCAACCAAAGTCTCTCCCATAAGTCCTGAAGAACTTAATAAACTGCATCATTGCCAGATCAAGTACCCACCAAGGATGACAAGCCAGTGCTCACAGTCCTAGTACCATTGAAGACAACAGAGCAAAAAGCAAGTCTTCCTACTATAGGTTGACCAACAATGAGTCTTGAGCCTGTTCCTCTAAACTGGTAGTGAGGGAAATATATTGGTAAGTGAGTTGGAACTAGAGGAAGTTACATCTAGGTAATAACTGGTGTTGCTGGTCGCTGTTAATTTTTTAGATTTTATTGACTACCCTTGTAGTTGAGTTCCATAAGGCACTCTTCTAGGTCATGTTCTGATCTTTAGAGACTTTTAGTTCTGCCAGGTGCTCAAGGTTACTTGTTAGCTATAAATGCAGTTAATCACCTGCTTAGGGCTTCATTTTTTGAAGGCAACCTGACTCCAGGAAAGGTCTGTGCCTGTCACACTAGGAGCCAATACTAGCGCCACATAGTTCATGAGATGGCCCTGAATTGGGACTTTTCAATAGCACCAGAAGTGGGTATTGCTTCTGCCACATTCCCCACCAAGTGTTCAAATACCAGAGCACATGTGGGGCATTTCTCATTCAGACCAATACATTCCACTCCCTGATTCCCATAGACCTCATGGCTTTACCATAATACAAAATGGATTTAGTTCAACTTCAAGAATTCCCAGTCTTTCTCAGGGTCAGCACTGTTAAAAAATGCAAAGTCTATTTTGAAATTCAAGGCCATGTCTTAATTGTACCATCCTATAAAATAAAAAAGCAAACTATACATTTCTAATATATAATGGCACAGAATATGCCATTCCAGAAGGGAGGAATAGGGACATAATGAGGAAATATGGGACCAAAGCAAGAACCCGGCAGGTAAAGCTCCAAATCCTGTATCTCTATGTCCTATGTCAAAGGTCTGAGATGCTTCCATCCCTTCAGATTTGCTGCGTGAAACATCACTCTCTCTTGAGCTGGTTCTACTTTCTGTGTGCAGTTCTCCTTGGCAGAAGTCTCATGGCTCTGGCATCTCCAGCATCTTGGGGTCTCCACAGAAACCCAAGCTTCACATTCACAGCTTCATGAAGTAGCTTCTTGGGGCCACCTGCCCCCTTAGGGACTGCATTCTGGGATTCCCTTGCCACTGGATGCCTGGTGTCAGGAGTACACAAAAATGATGAAAGTGAATTCATGACTCTTTCACTCCTGTGCTTTAAGCTTCTAATGCTGTCATCACATAGATGATACTGCCAAGTTCTACTGCTGGCTTGGGATGCCCTCCATGCCAATCATATTAGCAGCAACTTTTTTATTCAGTTAACTTTTCTAGTCGCAGAAAACTCCTTAGGCCTCTTCATAGCTTGGAAGCTTAGTTGGGTAGGGTCTTGCCCTGAGGGCACCCTTCCTTTTACTCTAGATCCAAACAAATAGACTCTCTTTGAGGGCACTAAACTCCTTAACTTCAGCACAAGCCTTGGTGCTTTTTAATCTCCTCAGACTGTACGTTTTGTGTTTCTGACTTCCCCACTTACTCCTATTCATTGTAGAGCTGTGTAAGTTATTAGCAATAATCATACCACCAATTTAATATTATGCTGCCTTGAAATTGCCTCTGTCAAAGAAATGACTGCATTTTATTTTATTTATTTTTACACTTATTTATTATATATTTAAGTTAGAAACAAGCTTGCTTCCCATGTCAGTCCCAGCTCCCTCTCCTTCCCCTCAACATCCACTCCCTACCTCCCCTCCGGCCCCCCCAGCACCCCACCCAATCCCTGCATTTTAAATGTAGCCTTGGAAAGCCTTTTAGGACAAGGACAGAAGCCAGCTATATTCCTTGCCTAGAAAACATAAGAATAGCCTCTAACCAAGTCACCAATATTGTTCACATCTGAAAATGCTTGAGCAATGCCTTCACAGACCACATTGCTCTTAGCACTACTACCTCCCAGGTTACTACTGGGATGTCCCCCTAAGCTCGGCTTACAGAGTTGATCTGCTTTTCCAAAAATCTTCCACATTCCTCCCCAAAACAATGTGGACAGTTTCCTCACAGCAATGCCCACTCTCTGGTACCAACTTCTGTACTAGTTCCTTTTCTATTGTTCGGCTAAAATGCCATGACCAAGGCAACTTAAAGAAGGCAGAGCTTATTTTGGCTTCTAGTTCCAAAGGGATAAGAGTCCCTGATGGTGGAATGGAGCCATGGATATAAGTGACAGGCATAGTGACAAGGAACAAGAAACTAAGAGCTCACATCTTGAACCACAAGCAAGAAGAAGAGAGAGCTGACTGTAAATGGAATGTGTCTTTTAATCTCAAAACCTGTCCCTATCCATGTTCTCCTTACAGCAAGGCCATACCTACTAAAC